GCCCCAGATTAGGACCCCTCTCTGGGAGGCCGGGGTCTCTCTAACCTTGGTCTATCTTGCCAGAAGCCCCCTCTCTTCACCCTTGGAGCTCTTGGATCGTGCACCTTAGCTGGCTTGAGACCCTGCAGGCCCCCTTTCTTCCAGACAAGTCTTCAGGAGAGTTTGGCAAGGCTTCTAGCCCACCCCTGCCACGGGCTTGCTAGGTGACTCACTTTGGCCCTCAGGGTCCCCCCCTCTACAATGAGGGAGACAAGCTAGGACCCCCTCATGGCTCCATAACCAACACTGCCGGAGCCTCAGGTCTGCAGGGAGTCGGCAATCCCCAGGACCCCCCCAACCCCTCCCCTTCCTAGAGAAGTCCAAGGCCTTCTTCCCAGGCTTCCTCCTAGACATCTGGGCTCCAGGAGCCTTCATGTTCCATCTTCAGACGTCCAATTACTGAACTACAGAGCACCCAGATCTGGCCTGGAAGAGGTCCAGAAGTGCTCCAGCAAGCAAAGTGATGAAGTCCCTTCTTGTCCTTACCATGGTTGCTAGTCCCAGGGCCTCCTCTGCTGCAGGTCACCTCCTCAGCTCTCCACCACCCAAAGATGGCCTGGCCTGCTCCAGTCCCTCGGATTTGTAGGGGGCACCCTCTCCTCCCACCTCCCTGCTCCCCAGGACTAGTTGCCCTGGCCAATCAGATCCTGGGGTCAGCGAGCGCCTCCCCCCCCCCGCCCCCATCCCAGAATCCTAGCCCATTACCTAATTTAGCCAAGGGCCCTTGCGGAGAAATTTAAGCCTCTGAGCAGGTGGCAGGCCTTAATGTCCTAGATTCTTGGGAGGAGAACCCACCCTGCTCCACTGCCTTAGGGAACCCCTGCTCAAGGAACACACTGGCTCCAAGATGGGTGAGGACAATCGGAATCGAGAAAAGTGAAGCAGCATGGCAGAGGGGGAAGAGCACAAGCCTTGAAGTCCGAAACCCAAGATCCAGATCCTGTCTCTGCAAACAGTGCACTCTTAGGCAGGCGATGTGCCACTCTGAGCTTCAGTTCCCTTCTCTGAGAGGTGGAGATGGGGACAGTCATGACCTCCCTCACAGACAGACCATGGGAAATGGGGGCCCAGCTACAAGTCACCCAACTTGTGCCCACTCCATAGGGTTGGTGCTTGTCTTTGAACCATGGTGGAGGGCAGGGGAGGGGAGCGGGGGAAAGTGACGGCCACAGTCGTTGAACCTCTAGGAGGAGCCACACTCTATGATAAGCATTTTAACCACATGATGTCACCTAGATCACCCCATCCCATGAGGGAGAAGCTAGGATTATTTCCTCTTTACTAGGGGGCTTTGTAAATCATAAAGGCCTCTAGTCATGTCAGTCATTCTTTTTTTTTTTTAAGATTTTATTTATTTATTTGACAGAGAGAGACACAGTGAGAGAGGGAACACAAGCAGGGGGAGTGGGAGGGAGAAGCAGGCTTCCCACTGAGCAGGGTGCCTGATGCGGGACTCGATCCCAGGACCCTGGGACCATGACCCAAGCCGAAGGCAAATGCTTAACGACTGAGCCACCCAGGCGCCCCATGTCAGTGATTCTTATTAATCCTGAAGGGAAGTTGGGACAACCCTTGAGGAGACCTGTCCAAACAAGAAATCTAGGGAGGGGTCCAGGAGATGGGTATGCAGTTGGAGGAGAAATAAAGTTGAAAGCACATCTTCCTCTCAAGTTTACCTTCTCCGGGAAAAGGGTGTTTGGGATTCTTTTTTTTTTTTTTTTTTTTTTTTTGAGGGAGATGGGGATTAGGGGCAGGTTCTCTAGGTGAGTAAAGGGGCAGCTGGCCCCTTCCTAGAGCTCGGTGAAGAAGTCCAGAGCAGCTCAGCTAGCCATCTGGAGAGATGGGCAGAGCAAGTCCAGTCCGAAGGGAGCCCATCCCGCAAATCCACAGGGTCCGGGCTGGGTGTTGGAGAGGTAGGCAATGCTGTGGACAGTGGCTAGGTCAACAGAAAGCGCATGAAGACAACTGAGCGCGGAGCCTGGGGCCAGTGAAAGGAGGCTGGATTCCAAGGAAGGTAGACGGACAGTGGCAGCTGGGCCACCATCTTTCTCTATTTATAGACATTCCCAAGAAAAGCTCAGTGGAGCTAGGCCAGGCTACGCAAGGCCTCCGCCGGCCAGGCAGAGGGCCAAGGGGCAGCGACACCAGGGGAGTCCAATTTGGACGTGAGCCCTGGAGCCACCAATGATTCCTTTGAAGCAGAGAACTTGGAACCCTCAGCAATCATTTGTTCATTAATTTGTTCTTTCATTTATTCAGGAAAATAGATAAGGTCCAAATTTATCTATTCCCTTTAACCACTCCAACCTCCATCCCCTTCCCTCCCCATCCTGCATGCTGCTCTGCTCTGGTCAGACTAAAATACAGCTCCAAACAATACCCTGTGTAGTCTCCAGGTCTTTGCACGTGCTGTTTTTTCTGCCAGGAACTCACATCTTCTCTCTCTTTACCTCCCTACTTCACTGTAATCTTTCTCAGCTTCAATATCACTTCCTTCCGGCGCCTGGCTGGTTCAGACGGTAAAGCATGCAACTCTTGATCTTGGCATCAGGAGTGTGTGTGTGTGTGTGTGTGTGTGTGTTTATATATTTATATATTATATATTTATATAAATATTTATTATATATATATATATATATATATATTTAAAGGGGCACCTGGCTGGCGCAGTCAGTGGAGCATGTGATTCTTGATCTCCAGGTCGTAAGTTTGAGCCCCACGTTGGATGTAGAGATTACTTGGAAAAAAAAAATACAAATCAAAAATAACATCACTTCCTTCGGGATCCCAAGGGAGTCCAAGGCAGTCTTCAGTAGTTTCTTCACTCATAGCCCTGAGCATGCCACATGACATGACCTGCTCTGGGTTCCATGGACCAAAGACTGTTACCTGTTCTTCACTGCATTCCCCAGCACCCAGCACTTAGCACGTGCTCAATAAATACCGTGTTTTTTATAGGAATAACTGAATGGAGTGGCATCTGGTTATGAGGAGGAAGTTCCTAACCGTCAAGGTTGAAAAATCACGGGAATGGGAAGCCTCCGAAGATAATGAGCTCCCTGTTACTGACTGTATGCAACCAGGAATTTAATGACCATCTCTCAGGGTGGCTGTAGGGAGATATTATAGGATAGTGGAGAATACAAGACTTCAGGAGGAATAGTTCTGGTCCTATTTGTATGGCCCAGGGTAGGTCCCTTCCCCTTACTGAGCTTCAGACTTCCCATCTGTAAAACAGAAGTACCAGACCAGATTTCTGACAACCCATGGTTTTATGAACACCTGCTTTGTGTTTTTGAACACCTACCCAGATTTGTGAGACCTATGCCACAATACAAGTTGATGTTCTTCGGTGTTCAATGAATGAGTGAGTGTTGAATGAATTAAGGAATGAAGTGTGTCTCTTTTTGCCCCCACACCCTGCTGCTAAGTTGAATGAAGAGGAGCTAGATTCTTGAAATTACATGGACTTGGCCATAAATCCTAGCTCCCGTATTTCCTAGCTCTGGATTTTGAGAAAGTCAACTTGCCTCTTCATCCTGAAAACGGACCATTATTATCCAATAACAGCCCCTCCCCCAAGATGTGAGTGTGAGATGTGACCCCATGTAAAATGCGTAGAACAGGATGTAGGTCACAGTGAAACCTCTGCACATAGTGGAGTGTGTTTCCCATTCAAAGCTACTTCCCCCCCCTTCTCCCTCCTGTGCCGTTCAAAAAGGGTAGGAAGGACTGTCAGTTTTATTTGTTCGATTGTATAACCAACAATATCTGCCTTGCTAGGGACTGGTAGCAAGGCCTTTTGACAGGAAGTGACAATAAATTCTTCCTGACCCACTGCTGCCCTCCCGGTAAAAGATAAAACACAGCCAGCCCTTCAGAGAAGCTGCTGAGATTACCAGGCCTTCTGTGTGGGAAAAGAAAAGAATGAGGAACTCAGGAAAGGTAGGCTACAAGGCCCCACACTCAGAAACCTCTGGCAAGCTGTGTGACTCTGGGCACATAACTCTGCCTTTCTGGATCTCACTGCCCCGTTTGCTACTTTCTGTGTGTGAGGTTCAAATGAGATCGTAAGAACGTGTGAAGACTGTAGAAACGATAATCACTATGTAACTGATTAGTCTGTCAGCCCCTGGTCTACGCCAGGCACTGGATCAGGGTCCTTACGAGGACTGCAAAATTAGTACCAGTTTTAATTGTTCCTGTTTTACACAGGAAAAAAACCTTGGCTCTAGGCTCGAGGTCAGATTCCAACTCACATAACGTGTCTTCCCTTGGCCTCAGTTTTTTCACCGGAGAGATGGGCTTCCCACTGTGGCATGACTTTGGAAAGTTAGAGTGCTGGATGGAGATTGCGGGATAGATTGGGGGCAGTCGGGACAGACTGGGTCTTCGGGACGGGAGGCAGGATTCACGGGGGGAGTGAGACCCTGCGGACTGGGTACGATCCCGCAGGACGCTGGGGTTCGCCCAGGCCTACCCAGGATTCCCAAGTCCCTCCCGGAGCGAAAGGCCCGGGATTCCCGGGAGGCTCCGGGGAGCGGGCGGGGCCGGGGGCGGGGCCGCGGCAGGAAGCGGCCGGAGCGGCGCTGGGAGCAGCCTGGGCCCGGCGAAGCCCGGCCGGCCTCGGTAAGCTGCCGGGGCTGCACCCCGGACGCTGGGGAACCGCGCGCCCCTGAGCGCACCGCGGGGCGCGGGAGGGAGAGGCGCCAGCGGGCGAAAGAGACGAGGGGAGTGTCCTGGCCTCTCCCGGCAAGAGCGCGGCCCTAGGCTGCGCGGAAGGGGTGGGGGGGCGACGCCAGGAGACGCGCGCGGCTCGCAGGAACCCCAACGGGCTAGGGCGGGGCCTCCGCGGCGTCCCTCCCTCCGCCGGCTGGGCCCCGCCCCTCCTCCCCGCGCGGGGCCCCGGGTCTCCCTCCCGCCCCCGCCCAGGACCCAGCGTCGCGCACTCCCCCCAGGGTGCCATGGCCTCGCGGCTCCTGCACCGGCTGCGGCACGCCCTGGCCGGCGACAACCCGGGGGAGGCGACGACCGGCCCGGAGGCCGAGCAGTTCCCTGAGAGCTCGGAGCTGGAGGACGACGACGCCGAGGGCCTGTCCTCCCGCCTCAGCGGCACCCTCAGCTTCACTAGCGCCGAGGACGAAGAGGACGACGACGAGGAGGACGACGGGGAGGTTGGCCCCGACCCGCTGCCCTCTGGGGACGGGGCGTCGGGAGAAGATGCAGGCGAGTTCCCGAAGACAGAAGCGGGAACCCTGGGGCTCGGTTAGGCCTCCACCCCAGCCCTGTTCCCCAGCCATCTCTTGGCTGTGTGACCTTGAGAGAGCCACAACACCTCTCTGAGCCAAGTTTTCCCTCGTGTCAAATGGGGGAAATCACTCCCATCTTGGGGTTGCTGGGGGCATTAAATTTACAGGGTCTGGGATACAAATCGTAATGTGCTCGCGATGTTTTGGGGGGGGAATATTTAGAGCCTGCTGTCTGCCAGACACGGTGTTTGGCACCTGGCCCCTCGCTGGCCCTCAGTTTCCATTTATGTCAAATGGAAATAAAGCCTCTCACCTGTTGGGAGGATGAGTGAGGTCACCACACGTGGTTTGTGTCCACCTTAGCCCCAGGCCCATAGATGTGACTGGTCGTGTCCCCATGCAGATCGGAGCCTCCCACCTGATGGACAGCGGGGCAGTCAGCCCCTGGCAAGGCAGTTGCAGGATTTCTGGAAGAAGTCCCGCAACACTCTGGTGCCCCAGCGGCTGCTCTTCGAGGTGACCAACGCTAACGTAGTCAAGGATCCACCCTCCAAGTACGTGGTGAGTGAGGGTCCAGGAACCTCTGGGCTGTGAGTCTAGAAGTCTGGCTAAGAGAAAGGGAAGATTCCCAACTTCCTTGGGCTGGGGGTGGGGAGTGGGTGTCTAGCTGTATAGTTATAAATGGTCACTGTATTTTAGGAGTGGGGAAACTGAGGTCAGAAAGGGGATGTAATTTGTTCAGGTCCTTAGGCAAATGACAGCTTTCTGAGGGATTATGGACCTGCCCCCCATCCTGGTTTTGAGACTAAGAGAACTGATGTGTGGGTCCCACCCCCCTGGTTTTGCAAACTGTAGCAAAATACAGGATATACAGGAAAGGATAGTATCTGGGTCAGACCTGAGACCCAAGTTGCATTTGTTAGTGGTTAAAAAAAAAATGGGTTTTGGATCCAGACCTTGATTCAGATCCCACTTACTACCAGCTGTTTCACCTTGGGTGAGTTGTGTAACCTTGATAACCCTATTTCCTCATCCGAGCAGTGGGAATAATGCAGAGGATTGTTGCAGAAATTAAATTAGTGCACAGAGAGCCCTTAGCACTGTGCCTGGCATTATGAAGTGCTTGATAAAAGTCTATTATTATGACTTAACTTTGGCTTGAAAATGTCTGGCATCTAGGGCCTGTTGTGGCCTCCTTACAACCCAGGTCAATCAGTCCCTGGGCACCGACACTGTACACAATAATCTTGTTCTGAGGGTTAGGTTTAGGGGGTAGGGGTTGGGATGAAGAGCAATGTGGGGGAAGGCCTTGGAGTCTGGTTTTCCTTGCCTGTGGAAAGGAGAAACTGACAAGCAAGAATGAGGTCTGCCAGGTCCTGAAACCCAGCGTGACTTGGCCAGTCCTGGCCGACTCAGACTTCCCTCCTCTTCAACACCCTCCTCCATTTCTGACTCAGCAGGAAAGGGGCCTGGTGCCCTGTCCCACATCTGGGCCTCTCCATTCCTTTCTGCTGCTGTTAGTAAACAAGGGCCACGCCCATGGGGTGACTGCTCCAATTTGAGCAGGGATTGACTCTGATGATCTAGTCTTAAGGGGCAGAAGTCCCAGGCCTCACGCACTGGCAAAGGGACCCCAAGGAACAGCCGGGAAGCAGGGAAATTTGGGATGATACTGAGAATGACAGGATAGAGCAGGATGGTCAGATATGCCCTGGCCCATGTCTGGGGAGACAGGTCCCGTCCTCTGTCCAAAGGGGACCCTAAATCCTGATTGAACTTTTCCCGGCGGGGTTGAAAGCCCATGCTGTGGAATTAGGTGGGCCTGGGTTTGAATCCCAGCTGGACCATTTACCAGCTGTGTGACTTAGGGGAAGTCTTTGAGCCCTTTGCTTCCCGTGGAGCCTGCTTCCTCGGCTGTCAGTCAGGGACTCCCTCCTCACTATGCTCCATAGTAAAGTGCCCAGCACAGCACATCGTAGCAGGGGCAGGTGCTAAGTTAATGGAGCTACTGTCATTATTACCCATGAGATAATGGACATAAAATGTTTCCTTTTTGCCAAAAATTTAAAAATAAAAGTGAAAGCTACATGAATATACAGGGTCATTTTAGACAATGCTTCCTGAAGTGTATTTTGCAGGAAACTGGTTCCCTGGAATGTTGATAACCGTTCCTTAAAAAAAAAAAAAAGTTTTGCAGCCAGTATGTTTGGGGAATGCAGAACTGAATGGGAGTAAAATAAATTTCTTTAAGGTTAAACCTTTTAATCCTTAGTATTAACATACACTGAATCTTCGAGAGAAGTATAGAATAGACCAGAGGTGGCTAGAATATTGGCAGTTTCACAGAACAAATTCAAGAGAAAAGTCTGGGTTTGGTGTTAGCGTGCCTTCAACATCTCATGCTTAACTAATCCCCCTTTTTAAACCTGGTGGGTCAGCATTATTACAGATTAATCCGTATTCAGGTGCTCAGACCTAGGGGCAGCTTCACGGTCATCTCGATCAGCGTTTCTCAAACATCAGTCATTCCAGTACCACCTTCATGATTCTCGTCCTAGCTAAATGCTATTTGTACGATTCCTTGCTTAACACTTTTCTTTAAGTAAACCTATTTTTTTCATAAGTAAGTTCAAAAGACTTCAAAGCAGTCCTGTAGCTGGAAAGCCTTGCTTGCCATACCGTAAAAATTAATTAATACAATAAAAGCAGTCATTAAAACCCTGCATGAATGCTGTTGCCTGAAGGCCCTGACGTGAGATTTGCTTTCTAGGTCTTTTCTGAAAGTGGAGATGAGACGTGTGGGAAAGTGCGTTTTAAAAACCAAACAGAGAGCTTCTCATCTGTAGTCAGGATTCAAAGAGAATTGGGGCGGGCGGGGGGGGGGCGGTCACCTCCTGTCTCTGCTTCAGTGTTACTTACTCCAGCACATACCACCTAGAATCTCAGGACCAACATTTACTTATACGCATCCCACCTGTGAGTGGACACTGACCTAGGCCACCACCTCGAGGAAAGCAGACCCAAGGGGGGACTGCCTTGCCTAACACGCCGCGAGGGAGTAGCTGACCAGAGGGTTAGGACCTGTGTCCCAATGCCCTCTTCACAGTGATCACTACTTGGTCTATCTGAAGACCTCTCCTCCAGGTCTGCTTTGGAATAACCTGGCTAAGGATGTGGGGGCTCTGTGTCCAGAGCGGAACAAAGTCCAAGCTGGTCTTGAAGGTTGGTTCAGAGGCCCAAGAGATCGGCCTGGGTTTCAGCTCCCAGCTGGTTTACCAGAGGGGCTGTCAGAAGAGCTAACTGCCCTATGGGAAGGGAGTGCTCCCTGGAAGGGGGCAAAAGGGGTGACAGCTCCAGGCACTGAAGCTCATCTCTGTCTCTCTCTCCCCGTGCTGCCTTGGGCCCGGGTCATTTCAGACAAGCCTCAGGTAAGATGGGACTGGACTCCCTGGCTGCCAACCCAGCAGCTCCCACCCTCCTGGGCCCAGTCTCAGGGGCGAAGGGAAGAAGTGGGGCAACGCAGCTTGAGGTGTGGGTGTGGGGAGGGAAGGGGCGCACGGACAACTCACACTTGCCCTGACCCCACCCTCCCCACAGCTCTACACCCTCGCCGTGATGGGTCCAGGGCCACCTGATTGCCAGCCAGCCCAGATCTCTCGCCGCTACTCGGACTTTGAGCGGCTGCACCGAAACCTGCAGCGACAGTTCCGGGGCCCCATGGCCGCCATCTCATTCCCCCGGAAGCGCCTCCGCCGGAATTTTACAGCAGAGACCATCGCCCGCCGCAGCCGGGCCTTCGAGCAGTTTTTGAGCCACCTGCAGGCAGTGCCTGAGTTGCGCCTTGCCCCGGACCTGCAGGACTTCTTCGTGCTGCCCGAGCTGCAGCGGGCCCAGAGCCTCACCTGCACCGGCCTCTATCATGAGGCTCTGGCGCTCTGGGCCAACGCCTGGCAGCTGCAGACCCAGCTAGGCACCCCCTTGGGCCCAGACCGACCTCTGCTGACCCTGGCTGGGCTGGCTGTGTGCCACCAGGAGCTGGAGGATCCTGGGGAAGCCCGGGCATGCTGTGAGAGGGCCTTGCAACTGCTGGGGGACAAGAACCCCCACCCTCTGTTGGCACCCTTTCTGGAGGCCCACGTCCGGCTCTCCTGGCGCCTGGGCCTGGACAAACGCCAATCAGAGGCCCGGCTCCAGGCCCTGCAAGAGGCAGGCCTGACCCCCACGCCACCCCCCAGTCTCAAAGAATTGCTCATCAAGGAGGTACTGGACTGACTTTGCCTAGACTTCAGGCCACTGTGGGGAGAGGCACCGCCCCGGGATGGAGGGTGGGGGTGAGCAAGGAGGACATGAATAGCAGTTGGGAAGCTGTAGGGGGTGCTGGGAGCCCCTAGAAGCCCTATGAAGGATTTGTAGCACACCAAGGAACCATGTTCCTTCTGTCGAGCTGGGCTGAGGACAAGTTTGGCCAGGGTTGCCCTGGGGTGGTGTAGGGAGCAAGTCTGATGCAGCCTCTCCAGCTCATGAGTGTCTGGGGACTGTGCCCCAGTGTCGGTCGGCGTTACCTCTTCCTTGGCCGGACGGCCAGGAACTCTTCCTCTGGAGTCCTGGAGTACGGCTGTCGTCTGGCCCAGGGGAATTAAAGGCCAGCAGCTCCAGTGGTATTAGTCTCTTTATTGGGTTTGGGGACAGAAGGCCCAGCCCTCAACTGTTCGGAGTTGGTGGGGAGAAGGGTGATCCTTGAAGCCCCAGGCCAAGCTGGTCCCTCTGGCTACAGCTTGCTCTCTGAGACCCGGGGCTTCACTCGGATCACGCCCTCCTGGGCACAGGACACAGCCAGGACGCCGTCCCGACGCCACAGCCGCCCTTGGACCAGCCCCCGGGAGCCACCTGTGGGTGAGGGGAAGGGTGAGAACAGCCTTCTCCTTCACCAAGTGTGCTTCTTGAAAAGGGCGCAACCGGTCTGGCTGCCCCACACAAGGGCACATCAAGTGTTGTGGCCTCTCCCAGTCTCTAAGTGCCGCTTGATGAGCCTATTAGGAATGGTCCCTGGGGGGAACTCCTGAGGGCACCCCACTTGACAGTTTAAAAGCACTTTCACATATCTACTGGCTTCCTCAGAAAGCTCACAGCGGGGAGAATTCTGAGGGCAGTCTCGGGTCAGTAGCTTGGCTAAGCAGATCCACCCCCACTCTGGCCACTTGTGGTAGGAAACCCCACAGTTCCCTTTCTAATGAATCAAACCGGGTCCTCCAGGGCGCTATTTCACACCAAAAAAACCCCCATCCTCACCCCTACCAGGATGAATGGGGTGGGGGGGGGACCTGGGGCCATCATATCTGGCCACCCTCCCTCCCCGCCTGGAGACTCCTTTGCTAGCCTTGGGCCTGAGTGGAAGGTTCTGGAGGGAGCTGCTGGTCTCCCTTACACAGAGTAGAGCTCACTTAGTTCTCATAGTAGCCAAGTGAAGCAGGCCTCGGCCCATTTTCCAGATGAAGACACAGGGAACCTCAGGCACTCAGCTATAAGGAGTTCCAAACCAGGTGTCCTAACTGCAAGGCTGCTGATCTGTGTTGCGACATTACTGATGCTGCAGAGTCCCCCTTCCCTGAAGAGAGGATCCCTTAAGTTTTGTCCCTGTTTTATAGAGCAAGGCCTTTCTTCATCTGAAGTGTGCTTCCCCAGAAAGGGGCCCAGGGCTCTGAGACTAGACAGTGCTGAACGCGTCTGGGCTTCCCTGTGGACCACAAGGGTCCAAGTAGCGGAGCCCTCAGAGACTACGGAGGGCCCTGACCCCCAACCAGGTTGGTTAATCTGCACCATTTTTCAGGGAGCTGCTTAAAAATAATAGTTTCCTGGATTTCATCCAAGACCTGAGTCAAAATCTTGGGGGTTGAATCTGAGTATCTATTTTGAAAAAACGCCCCCAACTGGCAGTCTGACATGCCACCACGTTCAGCTACCACTGCTCTCATGCGACCCTATTTGTTTAGATGGGGAAACTGAGGCTCAGAGAGGAGCTGAGACTGGCCCAGGATCACACAGAGAATCTGAAGTGCTTCCGGGCCTAGAACTGGTCTCTGACACTCCCTGCATGCTACAGAAATTCAGCTGAGCAGGTGTCCCCTCTCGAGCCTCACGCTGTCATTTTGAAGACAAAAATGCCAGAGCCGAGACGCCTGGGTGGCTCAGTTGGTTAAGCGGCTGCCTTCAGCTCAGGTCATGATCCTGGCGTCCCAGGATAGAGTCCTGCATCAGGCTCCCTGCTCAGTGGGGAGTCTGCTTCTCCCTCTGACCCTACCCCCCTCTCATGCTCTCTCACTCACTCTCTCCCTCAAATAATAAAAAAAAATCTTAAAAAAAAAAAAATGCCAGAGCCTAGGGGGGCAGGAGAGGAAGTGACGGGCAGTGCCCCACAGGATCACCCGAGAAAGCAGGCTTCCTGCCCACCACACCCCGCCAGCCCCCTTGTCCCACGTGGCCCCGTACTCACCAGCCCAGGGGCTCTCACACTCATAGAGCATCCAGTGGTCAGCTCGGAAAGGGGTGTGGAACCACATGGAGTGGTCCAGAGAGACCATGAAGTGCACCTTGTGCTGCCGCTGGTGGGGCAGCATTGCCGTGCCCAGGAAGGCGTAGTCCGAGATGTAGGCAGCCACGCAGCAGTGCATCTTCATATCGCCCTCCCCTGCAACGCATGGGGGCCCCGTCAACCCTGGACTGCTGGGCTTTACAGCTCAGGACCTGCGGGGAGGTGGGCAGAGAGGGGCTGCCATGCACAGATGTGTAGAGTGCTCACTGCATAAGGGCACCTGGCCCGGGGGTGGGTGGGTGGGTGGGTGTGTGTGTGACAGGTGACAAAGGAGGCAGGGATGGGCAGAGGGCAGGGCTAAGTGAGGTATGAAATCCAGTCTTCACTCCCTGTCTCCCACGCTGAGCCCTCTAAGGGGTGCAGCTTGCACAGAGGCCATGTGGTTAGCAAGGGGTCCTGGAGAAGAATCTCCAAAAGGTGCCTTGCCTTCCCCAGAAAGGGCCTCTATTGGGATTATTGCAGTCACCTCCCCCTTATCCCCATGCAGGCAGTGGACAGGGTCCCGGTGAGAAGCTACTTCCCCGTCATGCCAACAAGGAACAGCAGGCCCAGAGGGGAAAGTAACACACCCAGTGCCACAAAGGGCATATAAGGTCCCGGCCTAGCCCCTAGAAAAGTGTTTTCTTCCAGTCCTTGGGGTCCTCTTACCGATATGGCCCCGGGCTCGCACCCAGAACATCTGTTTGGGGTCCATGCTCTGCAGCTGGCTCAGGGTAGGTGGCTTTACCGGCTTAATCTCAATGGGCACCTCCTTGGCAGCAATTCGGTTCAGTCCCACCCGGTACTTCTCTTGGAGGTTGGGGTCCCTGAAAATAAAGGGGAAAGGGAGAGCCTCTCTGAGCTCCCTCTGTGACCCCCTCCTTCCTCCATGGGGACTCCTGACTTTTCCCCACCGCGCCCCTCCCGTCTGACAGGCAGAAGAGCATAGTGTCTGAATGCTTTCTCTGCCACTTAGGAGCCCTGTGACCTTGTGCACGTTAGTAACCTTGCTGAGCCTCTCTTCCCATCTGCAAAATGTAGACAATGACAGCAGCCTACCTCCTAACACTTCAGAGTAGCAAGGCGGACCCTATCAGAGGCACCCTTCTAAGCATTTCACACACACTACACACTACCTCATCACGACAACCCTATGAGATAATGCTATCATCACCCCCCTGATAACTGACCTGAAATAAGCAGTGGGAGTTCGAGGAGCTTGCTCAGGAAGTGGAGAAGGCAGGATGTGGACCCAGGCAGTCTGGCTCCATGGTTCAGGCTTTTATCCACTTTGCTATTCTCAACTTTCAGGAAGCAGGCTGTGCAACTGGGACCAACCTAGCTAACCCTAAGCAATTAGGAAGACCGTGTTCCGGGGGAGAGTGGGGAGCCCATCTCCAGGGGCGCCCCCTCCACCGTGGTGACAGCCACCCCGAGTGCTCTTCACCAGGGTTTCCATTTTCAGCCCCACCCTCTAAGGCACTGTCCCCCAGACCTTACGTGACGGTGGGAAGGTTCTGAACCTACACTGCCAACTCCGCTAGCCGCTAGCCACATGCGGCTACTGAGTGCTTGGAGTGTGGCTAGTGTGACGACAGAATTGTGCATTCTATTTAATGGTACCTTAACAGAGCCACATGTGGCTAGTGGCTTCCTAGGTGGACAGCACAGCTCTCTATTTAGGGACCTTTAAGACCAATGTCCTCCTTTCCTTTCGGCGGAGGAGCTCTGACAGACCAGGCTTTGTGCTTACTCCTGTCAGTAGTGGTATAACTACAATTCACGAGCTGTCACGAAGTGACTTATTACCTCTTACATCATTTAATCCTCCTACAGCTTTATGAGGTAGGAATTATGATTAGCCCCCCTTTGTACCTGTGAGCAGAGGCTCAGAGTGGGAAAGCAACTTGCCCAAACTCACACAGCTAGCAGAAACAGAGTCTACATTTGAACCCAGGCCTTTACCAAAAGATCAAACATATATCTATCCCTTCAGTACTCTGCTCCTCCCCGCATGCAGCACAGGACAGGGGAGCTCTCCTTAGGCTACAGCTGTGAAGTAGGCAGGACAGACATGACCATTCCCAATTCTTAGACGAGGCAGGACTCTGAGAAGCTGGGGAGTCGGGCAAAGTCACACAGCAGGGGAACACTAACAGAGGCACAGACCTGGCCAGAATCTGTGTTCTGTCCTGTGTCGGGACCCAGAGCTCTTTCCCCTGCCCCAGCATGTTCCCAACTTTATTAGCTGTGATCCGAAAGAAATGTATTTCACCAGGTGATACTCAAAACATTGAACACACACTAAGGCAAAGGCAGCAGGGACCGTCACCCCTGCCAGGCATTACCTCCTAGGCTGCTTCATCATGAGTGATCCCAAAGGAGGAGAGAGATCCCTCAGGGACTGGAGAGGTATGTACCAAGTGATCACAGAAGTGTTCCCATGTTTTAACAATCAGTAAAGCTGTAACAGTACCTGAACCGGCCGAATCAGAAGCTCTGCATTTACATCATAACGCAACACACTTGCCTGTGCGCACAGGTACACACACCAGACACACACAACCGACACGCAGGACTCACAAAAGGGGGCTTACCCTTACTACACACAAGATGCTCCAATATCTGTATTTTTTTAAATGCCAGTCAAGACCCACTAAAAGATTCCATGACCCACTCCCAGGTGACAACTGCAGGTGTTCTGGAGCCTCCCAGCTCTCTCACCTTAAATACTGGTCGATGAGGGCCTCGTGGTCCAGCAGCTCTTCGGGTGGGGGCACGCTGGGCATGGAGAACTGGTGCTGCACGGGGCTGGGCTGAGCCTTCTGGAAGGAGGCCTGGCAGATGAAGATGGGCTTGCCGTGCTGCACGGCCTTCACGGAGCGCACCGAGAAGCTCGTCCCTGTCCGCGTCCGCTCCACCTGGTACAGCACCGGCAACTTGGGGTCCCCTGCGGCAGGCACAAGTGACACATTGAGTCCAAGTGAGCCCCATGTGAGCAGTCTTCATCACCACGGCTGGACAGGCACCTCCGCTACTCGTTCTCTATTCTGCTCAGCAGCCCCTGACTGAGGCCTGCCTCGGCCCCGGGACTAGGGATGCCGCGAGAATACCAGAACCTGCCCTCGCTCTCCACAGCACAGAGCAGGGGGACCTTCCCTGCATTCAAATCCTGGCCCGGCCACCTCTCACTTAGCTGTGTGGCCTTGGGAAAATCTCTGAGCAGTTTACCCATCTGTAAAATAGGGATCATCAGTGCTTAGACCTCTCAGGATGTTAAGGAGAATTCAATTAGTCATAGTTGTAAAGTGTTTAGAATAACATCCAGCATGCAGTAAGTGCCCCATGTGTTTGTTAAAGAAAATAATCCCAGCTTTTGTCTGGTTTCATCTGTGACTGGGATCTTGTCATGAGTCCAGTACTAATCCTCTAGATCAGAGGTCCACAACTCTGGCCTGCACCTTTTCAGAACAAGCAAAAGCTATTCATTCAGAGTTTAGTATAGCAAGGGAGTCAGTCACCGTCACTTACGTTTGGCAGAAACTCAAAGGCAGGCAGAGGAGCAGGAAAGCATTACAGTGAAAAAAAGACTGAGTGTGTGCCACGACAGGAGGCTGCCGCCATGGGAAGAAGCAGGGAAGCTAACTAGAGGCAGGGCAGCCTCTGTAATTGGGTAGGTGTGCATATTTGGCTTTCTCTGGTTGGTCCTAAGTTGGAAGTGGGGACAAAAGCTGGAGAAGCTATTAGCTATTAATCAAGTCTCTGGTGTTTGGGGCTGACTGGTAACAGGGGCTATGGTTTGGCTTCCTGGACTGGTTGCTAGAGATGGTGGCCTGACCTCCTCCTACAGGTCTGACGTGTAGACAGCAGGTTGGCTTCCTAGGCTGCTTGCTGCCAACTGTGGATCAGAGTTTTTTTTTTTTTAAGATTTATTTATTTTGTTGGGGGGGAGGCAGGGGAGAGGTCTTCAGACTCCCCTCTGAGTGCGGAGCCCGACGCGGGGCTTGATCTCACGACCCATGAGATCATGACCTGAGCCAAAACCAAGTCAGACACCCAACTGACTGAGCCACCCAGGCAGCCCAGAGTTCTATTTTTATATGTGGTCTGGCCATTATCTGTTGGACTGTTCATTCTCTCAGGAAAAGCCTGCTGTCAGTCAGTCCCTTCATCCTAGATGCAAACAACTGTCACTTGGTCCTTCTCTTTTGGGTGTCTGCATCCCCAGGGTAGGATGGAATAGGCCTGTGTTGAGGCCTATTAGCTAGCCTCAACAAATCAGTCAGGAGGGTTTTTAGGAGGAGAGAGTCTCCTTGGTGTCCCTGAAGTCCTTCAGTGTCTCTCTGATTCAGGCCGATGTTGGAGAACTCTGACACCTTGGCAGTGAGACATCTTGGGTATGATTTTCAATATTCAGATCAAAGAAGCAGGTCTCAAGAAGTGTTGCTTTCTCCACCATCATCCAAATGGGGAGCCAACCAGGCACCGGAGGCTCATTCAACAGCAAAAACTATCATCATCCAAAGCTGGCTGGTTTGCTCCGCAATCTGCTGGCCAGCATTGCCAAAGGGGCATTTTTATCAGAATGGGGGCTCAAGGCTGAAGGCCTCTAGGAAGGGCTTCCCAAGAGTCCAGATCCTGGAAATAGTTAACGTGTGCAATCTGATTTCAGGGGCTGGAAAGGAACCCTCCTTTCCCTCCCAACAAACTTGGAAAAAAAAACACGGGGTGGCTGGGTGGCTCAGTCGCTTAAGCATCTGCCTTTGGCTCAAGTCATGATCCTGGAGTCCTGGGATAGAGCCCCACGTTGGGCTCGCTGCTCAGCAAGCAGAGTCTGCTTCTCCCTCTCCCTCTGCTTCTCCCCCTGCTCATGCTCACTCTCTCTAATAAATAAAATCTTAAAAAAAGAAAAGAAAAAAAAAAGGCTCTAACCTAATCCTTCGGCTGTAGCTAAAACATAGTACTTCCAGTTACTAGTGATTTACCTTTCAGTGTGAATGAGTTCCAGACCTGTTCTTGGACATTTTTATTGGAACAGAGCAGGTAGGCCCTGGAATATATTGAAGGAACAGAGTAAACAGTTGTGGAGTACCTACTGATGGGTGCCAGGTGGCATTAGAAACTAAGGCAGATTGGGGCACCTGGGTGGCTCAGCTGGTTAAGCATCTGACTGGGTTTCTGCTCAGATCATGATCTCAGGGTCCTGAGATTGAGCTCCCCCCCCCCAAAATCAGGCTCCGCGCTCAGTGGGGAGCCTGCTTGAGAATTCTCTCCCTCTACCCCTCCCCCTACCCAGCAGGCTCTCTAAAATAAATAAATCTTAAAAAAAAAAAAGACACTAAGGCAGGTTTTCTCAAGTGGGTCTCACAATAGCTAGGCAAAGGTTTTTTTCCCCATTGAATAGATGAGGAAATTGATGCCATTAATAACATTTTTTAACTACACACAAGCCACCATTTTTTCACATATTTTCTGTTGTTGCTTTTGCCCTCAAAACCTAAATTTTTTTTTTCAAGGAGGCTCCAGGCCCAATGTGGGGCTTGAACTCCTGACCCTGAGATCAAGAGTCACATGCTCCACTGAGCCAGCCAGGTTCTCTAAAACATAAAATATTTTTTTATCTGGCCCTTTACAGAATAATGTTTGATGACTCTACTCTTGATCTGCCAAGCTCTAAACCTATCCCAAGTCAGATGACTCCTGTCATCTACATTCTTCTACATCTCTAGAGAAATACCTGGGGGGAAAAAAAAAGACCACAAAAAATTAAACTATCATTCTATCCTTGGTTTTTAGAAAAAGAATTGATACGATAAATAGCCAAGGACAACCACCTCCCACCCCAGCATCTTTTATTTAAAAATACTGAAATATCATCGTTGGACCCGGTTGGAGGCCACATCTCACACTTGTAAGACAGCTTCCCTTTTTGCCTTGCTGCCAGGAAGCTCAGAATGAACTTTATAAAACTGCAACAATATGCCTTAGCCTAGTTTTTTTTTAACAAAATCATTTCTCCCAAATCCTGTTACTACTAGTCTCCTGTCCCCTGACTTCTATTTTAATAGGCCTGTAATAGCTGCCAATTATTCAATATATATATTGAAAAGCTCCAGTCTTTTAAGAAGCAGGTTGGGACACAAATGACTGATTATTTTGAAACAGTAGCATGGACGTGCCTCATTCCATGATGCCCCTGGATGGAGACTTTCCAAGGAAAAGGGTCCTTCCCCCAAAACCTGGTAGCTCTCCCATGGTTTGGAATTACCTCCCAAGAGTGAAAGAGAAAGGCAGAGGAGGAGGGCAGAGTGTGGAGCTTGGAGACACACACACTCAGATTTAATTCCGGCTCTGCCTCCCTGAGCACTTCGGGAGCTGGTTCCATAACCAGCAGGTAGGCCCTGGAATATATTCCGGTGGAATGCTGGCAGGAACGCCCACCCGTCGGGTTGACTTACAAGGGGCCAAACAAGATAATGTACAGAGCTATGCCCTGTATCATGCAAATTTTATTTATTCCCACAAATTCCTCATTTAAGAAGAATGATAGTTCTCATCTATGGAAAACCAGCAACAGTCCAGGACCCTCCCCTTCTACAGTTTTCATGTGGGATGAACCAAGCCTGGCTGCGGATGGAGGATGGGGAACGGGGGGTGGGGGACGGGGGTGGTAACCTCACTCAAGATCCCTTGGCGAGATAGTGGCAAAGCTGAAACCAGACCCACGGTCTCTTGATTTGCAGGCTGGTGCTCTCTTCTCCAAGCCAAGCTGCCTACTGCCCAACTCCTAGCAGAGGTGACAGCACCCCTCTGAGGATCCAGCACAGTGCTTGGCACCAGAAGGTGTGTAAAGAATGAACAAAAAACCTGCAGGACCAGTTAAGCAACAAAGTCTTACATCATTTCACCCCAGATAACAAGTGACGTGGGAAAAAAAGGTCAAAGAAAAAATTAAATTTCCTTACTACTTACAGCCCACTGACAAGTCCTTGAAACAGGCAGAGTGATGTTCCTCTAGAAACTCAGCTGCCTCAATGTTAATACTTTGCTGGGCAAAAAGGCAATCTTAGCCCAACCCCCCAGGATCCTGTAAGTCTTCTTTAAACATATAGAAATTCCTCTGGAAACTTCCTTTATCTCTACCCCTCAAGATGCATGTTGGCAGTCATCCTCCAAGCATATGGTCCACTGATACACATCTGAAGAGTCTCATGACTAAGGTTTTATTAGACAGTAATAAATGATCTTTTCCTAACAATAGCTAGCCCCCTCAAGGTCCTGGAAACCTTGTTTCCAAAATACCTTGGAGGCTTGAGCTGTCCCTAACCCCCTCCCAACTTCAAGTATACAATCAGTCACTGGTCACAACCCCAGTGCAGCTCTTTCTGCGCACGGGTCCTGTCCCATGCTCTAGTAAAACCACCTTTCTGGGGGCACCTGGGTGGCTCAGTTGGTTAAGCATCCAACTCTTGATTTCCGCTCAGATCAGGATCTCAGGGATGCTCAGCCGGGAGTCGGCTTGAGATTCTCCCTCTCCCTCTGCCCGCCCCCCAGCCCCACACTTTTTTTTTTTTTTAAGATTTTATTTCCTCATTTGAGAGAGAGAGCAAGAGCGGAGGAGAGGGGCAGAGGGAGAGGGAGAAGCAGACTCCCCACTGAACAGGGAGCCCAACGTGGGGCTTGATCCCAGGATCCTGGGATCATGACCTGAGCTTTATAAAGGCAGCCACTTAACCAACTGAGCCACCCAGGCAACCCCCACTTCTAGAAATAAATCTTTAAAAACAAACAAACAAAACCACCTTTTTGCATCGAAGACTTCTTCAAGAATTCTTTCTGGACCATTTGCTCCGAACCCCAACATTTTCACATCAACAAGCACTCAGTTATCTCAGGTATGAGGTCCAACACTCTTCTTGGCCCCAGGCCTTGTTCTTCTCTAGGGTCCCCTGAAGGGAATCAACTAATAGTCTCCCTCTTCCTCCCTCCCCTTCCCCCTCCTCAGTCAGCGCCCCCCCCCCCCACCTCCGGGTGCAGGAAGAAGTGGCTGCTGGGCCATTAGGGTTGGGTTGGGGATAAGGAGGGGGTAGTTTACCTACCTGCCCGTACAAAGTAGCAGTGCAGGGAGTGCACATGGATGTCTTCGCTCACAGACTTGGCTGCAGCCACCAGGGCCTGGCCCACAATCTGACCCCCAAACAGCCGCTGGGTTGTAGGTACCCAGTAATGTCTTCCTCTGTGGGGAAAGGGGAAAGCAGGAATTACTTGGGCTGAACACAGGGCCAAATCCTGCAACCATCACTGAGCCTATAGGGCAGGATCTCTCTGGGATCCTTTTGAAATCTGGTGAAAGCCATGGACCCTTCTCCCAGGCAAATACCCTTACTCTGCGTACAGCACACATATAACTTCGGGGCCTTCAAGACTGTCCAACCCTTCTGTGGACTTCATTTAAAGATAAGGAACCAATCCCCTTATTTTACACAAAGAGAACAGGAATCAGAGAGGGAAAGTGACTTGAGCAAGGTCACAAAACTCAAATATTGCCAATCCTGAGCAGTATCTGCATCTTTTGCCCCCAAGTTCAGTGTTTCTTCCACTGCAGTATTCCAGGATAAGGGAGAAGCCTCTCAAGGCCGTTAGGGAACTAAGATGAACCCCAAGAGCTGGGGGCAGACCGCATTAACGCCCGCCACTTACACCTCTCAACTTGGGACAGTCCAGTTCTTCCAAGAACTAGATCTAGACCTCTTAAGAGCCCTGAGGCTTCAAGTCTAACCCTTCAGTGCACAGATGAGGAAACTAAGGCCCCAGAGGTGAAACTCCAGCTTTCTACCACTGAGCCCAGCCCAGTCCAGCCCTAGGTTAGCATTTTGTAATATAATGCATTCCAAGGTAGCCCTCCAGGAAGTTATTTGTAATTCATTAAGTAGGGGGAAGGGAAGTTAACACCTAAGATTGCTTCTGAAAAGCCAGTAGGAACCATGAAGGCCAAAACTATTAAATCCCTAGCTACCGAGAGCATTTAAGTGGTATCTGGAAGAAAACTGGCTCAGGCCTCAGAAAGAGCAATGAGCTATTAGATCCAAGTGGTGGAGGGAAGGAGGTCTGTAAGAGGAAAAAGACAGTGAATGTGCAAGGAGCTGCTTATAAGTTTTAAACCTGATCAGCTGCGTGCACTTAGACAAGTCACCACCCTTTCTGGGCTGGCTCCCCCAGGGACATGACTCCTCTAGGGAGGCTGCGGAGAAGGCTATCTCAGGCCACCACTTTATTTGCCCAGATTGCTAGGACCTCCTAGTGGCGGGGCTGAGCAGACCTGGCGCATAGAGGGAGGAAGCTAGGGCAGCTAGGGCAGGTCTGTTGGGGACAAGTTCTCTCCCAATCGCTGCAAAGCCTGCATCCCGCACAGAGTCCATCTTCGTCCAGGGGGCTATCAGCAGGGGGCAACGCGGTGGCGGCAGTTTGAGATCAGAAACCTCTGTCCCAATGGGGGGGTGGGGGTGCGAGCCAGATGCGGCCGGCTACCTGAACAGATCCTCGTCTAGCGGCTCGAGGTTGAGCACGCTGGCAACCAGGACGCTGCCGAGGTCCCCGGGGGGATCGCCGCCGCCCTGCTCCTCCTCTGGAGCCTGCCGGGACGACATGGGGGTCACCTGCTGCCGGCCAGGACGCGGCGCCGGACGGACACGAGGAGACCGGCACTGAACGCTGAGCTTCTTCCGGCAGCTTGCTCCAGTAACCGGAAATCCCCTGCCAACCCTGAGAAAGCGGGATCCAAGTTATAATTGGCCGGTCCTCCTGTCAGTCTTCGCGAGAGGCTGGCTATCTTTCTCTGACGATTGGAGAAAATGAGTGCCAGTCTGGGAATCCCGTGTGTGATTGGGTGTGACTGTGAGCGGGCGGAACCTGGGACTGAGTAATAAGGGATGGGTGTCTTTTTTTTTCTCCCCCTCTGTCGGAGAGCGAAGACGCCCCCAGACCCATATATCCCGCTCAGCCCTAGGGGTACTCCTAAGCTAAGGCCACTCAGTTGGGGCCGACCCTTAGGGCATACTGGACACACGCCAGCCTGTAGACCCTCAGAGTATGACCTCTGAACCCTGGTGTTGATCTTGGGACCAGCCCCTGGTGTGGGCTAAGGGGGCGGCCATGGAGCTGGGCAGCTGCTTCAAGACCTACGAGGATTTCAAGGAGTGCTTCAGCGCCTACAAAAAGGAGAACAGGTGCTCCTTCATTCTCAGGGACTGCGTCTCCGTCCGCTTCCACAACCTCAACCATGGCACCTCCATCCGCGAGGACATCCTGTAAGGGCGGGGCAGGAGGGTGGGGAGGAGGCCGGACTGTCTGTCCCCTGGAGGGAGGCTTGGAGGAGGAGGGAGAGGGAGTGCAGATGGGCCCTGGTTTCGAGCATTCAACAGGCACTAAGGACCTGTCCTGTCCCTGGTGAAAAGAGCAAAACCTTCACAGGCATCGCTTTTTGACCACCCACTTCCCCTTCACTCATTCACTCCATTACAGCTTTCCCGGAATTCCCGGAATAACTGCAGTTTGCCCCATTCTTTGAGCACCTTCAGTATCCCTCATACAAAGTACTGTCTTCACAAATAGGTAAAAACGCCTTCGCGATGATTTCCTTTGTCAGTGTTCTCTCGACAAAGCAGTTAACGTGTTCACTTGTTGGTTAGTTTGTGCATTCATTCGTTCATTTTGTACACGGTTCTTGAGCTTATGAGATTTTTTTTTTTAAAGATTTTATTTATTTATTTGAGAGAGCATGGGAGGGGGGGAGGGTCAGAGGGAGAAGCAGACTCCCCGCTCAGCGGGGAGCCCAATGTGGGACTCGATCCCGGGACTCCAGGATTATGACCCGAGCCGAAGGCAGTCGCTTAACCAACTGAGCCACTCAGGCCCCCGAGCTTCTGAGATTAACAACCGTTTTTCAAACACTTCCCATGCCCCAGGCAGCCTTCTCTGTAGTGTGCATGCTTTACCCCACAGGACTGTATTGAGAATTATAGAAAAAATGCTATTTTTCCCTTTTGGCAGCTGAGAAAACTGGCTGAGAGGCTAAAATAAGGGTTCACAATGCCATTGTCTTCAGCGCTCAGGTGAAACAGCCCAGTGTAAGAAAATAAAGAATGATGAAATAACAAGGCACCAGGTCTTTGTAGCAGGACCACAGAGGTGTGACTGGGGCGAAATGGAGAGCAGGCCCTATCTAATCAACTCCAGCTAATGGCCACCAGGTGAAAATGAAGAGCCGGTGTTGCCAGAATTGGGGGCAGAAGTCAGAAATCCCAGCTTTGGGTCAGTATCTCCACTTTTTAGAAATTGCAAGTCAGTTCAAATTTGAACACACTCCGTGGGGGCCAACTCAAAGTACTTTATGGGCTCTCTGTCTAAATTACGTTAGGTGGTTAAGGGAGAGGTGAAGAGCTCTTCTTGAGTCTGTTGGATCTTAATTGTTTTTCAGCCCAAAATAATCCACATGCCAAAGTGGCAGATTCTGGGGCAGCCTGCCCTGAACCCCATCAGTGGTTAAAAGGGAGAGCTCAGGAGTCAGAAAGATGGGCTTTACCCTAGAGTTTGGGCAAGACTTAATTTCTATGGCCATTTTGTCCTCTGTAAAATGAGGTGGATGTGGTGAAGAGTAAATAACAAAATGCATGTAGAAGCAGAAACGTGGTGCTCTGTAAGTACTCACCGAAGTTGTTAACTAGTACATGTTAGTGGTACTTGGACTCAGTACTTTGAGAGGCAAATGTGCTGTGGGAATTAATCACTAAGTGACCGAAAGTCCCATTCCGCTGGAAGATTCTATTTTTATACCATTTCCCCTCTCTTTTTTTTTAAATAGGATTTATTTATTTATTTATTTTTAATTTATCTATTAGAGAGAGAGAATGAGAGATAGAGAGCACGAGAGGGAAGAGGGTCAGAGGGAGAAGCAGACTCCCTGCCGAGCAGGGAGCCCGATGTGGGACTCGATCCCGGGACTCCAGGATCATGACCTGAGCCGAAGGCAGTCGCTTAACCAACCGAGCCACCCAGGCGCCCATCCCCTCTCATTTTTATATATGGCTGTTGTGTTTTTCTTTTTGGTATGTCTTTTGGGGATTGATATTCTTTGAACATTCCGTGGAGTAGTCTCCTGTCTCTCTCCATTGCTGTTCAGTTAAATAGCTACCTTTTTCAGAACATATTTTTGGGCCGCATTCCAGACACTACTAAGAACTTTACAGGCACTGTTTTATTTAATCCTCATCACACTCTGAACTAGGCCCTTATCTGAGTTTTCATTTTCCATGTGTCCATAGTCACAAGGCCAGGTAGGAAAGCGGATGTCATACAAAAATCTTGCTAATAAAGCAGCCACTGATAAAATTAGTCACTACTACATAATTTCCTGCTTATCCCTACCAGTCCCATTAGCATCTTTGGCACTCAGTTTCTGGCTAATCAATAGATGTGGTAAACATCAGGATAACATAATGGAAAGAAAACTAATTGCAAACTGAAATTACACATCTCCCAAGAGTTGTAGGACTTAGTGAAGTCTCTGAAAGTAATGATTTCGAATTCCTTCCTTCACGTCAGCCTGACACCCATGAACAAGGGAAGAAGGGAAATCAACAAGGCTGATGATGTGATAGGAATTTGACAAAGGATATGCATAGCAAAGAATTAAATTAGACCCTTGGGAAACCTGATAAAGCCCAGGAATGTTTCCATAAAACTGACCTTTCCATATTGTAAAAGTGAGACAGTAAATAAGGCATCATAGTGTTTTGGGGAAAATGCACCAGGAAAAAAAAACAAAACCCAACAGTTGACACTATAAGTCATGCTTTGATTATTTTAAGAATTGGTATATGCTGGGGCGCTTGCGTGGCTCAGTCGTTAATCGTCTGCCTTCGGCTCTGGTCATGATCCCAGGGTCCTGGGATTGAGCCCCACATCCAGCTCCCTGCTCGGCAGGAGGCCTGCTTCTCCCTCTCCCACTCTCCCTGCTTGTGTTCCCTCTCTTGCTGTGTCTCTCTCCGTCAAATAAATAAATAAAATTAAAAAAAAAAAAAAAAGAATTGGTATATGCTGCCATTATAACCTACATTTTGTTAAATATATTTTTTTAAAAGATTTTGTCAGAGAGAGACAGCACAAGCAGGGGGAGCAGCCGGCATGACCAAGAGTTGCATTCTCTTCCAACTGAGCCAGTCAGGAGCCCCTAAATATAATATTTTGGCTGCAATTAACTGAAACCTCTGATTCAAAAATGGCTTATTTCTTAGAAGCTCAGAAGGGATCTTTGAAGGTGACTTTCCATGGCCCAGGCTTTTTGTTTCTTTCCATTCTGCCATCCTCAGGTCTCAGCTTTGCCTGTAGGAAGGCTCCCCACATGGCACAAATGCAGGGGTCATGTGCAAAGGGAAAAGCCTTCCTTGGTTTCCTGCAGATTTTCTATCATGTTTCTTTCTCCAGAATTGGGCCAGTATCCATGCCCATTCCTAATGAGATTACCTTAATTGGCTTAGACTAGCTCTGAAGTACTTAGCTATGTGGGGGAGGAATGGCAACCCAAATTAAGATGGCTTTCTGTTAGGAAGGAAAAAGGGGCTAAGGGCTGTTGAGTTAGCAACCCACAGATCCAGTCACAACTTTTTAAATGAATTCACTTTTAGTGGGTCTGGTTGTTTTTTTTGTTGTTTTTTTGAAGATTTTATTTATTTATTTGAGAGCACGGAAGGGAAGAGGGACAGAGGGAGAAGCAGACCCCCCGCTGAGCAGGAGCCCGATGTGGGACTCGATCCTGGGACTCCAGGATCATGACCTGAGCTGAAGGCAGTTGCTTAACCAACTGAGCCACCCAGGCATCCTGGTCTGGTTGGTTTTGAATGAGGTACTGACTTTTCATAGACCAGTACTCTTGTTATTTCCGTATTTACAGATAAGGATTTGGAGACTTAGAGGAAGTGAAATGACTTGTCCAGGTTCACACAGCTAATAAGCGGTAGAGCTGAAACTTAAACTTAGATCTTCTGACTTGAAGACTTGTTCCTAACTCAAGTTATATTGTCTAAAATGGCTTTACTCCACCTATAAAAATCCTATTCATTGCTGAAGGTGTGATTTATACACAAGGACACAAATCTTATGTAAAATTAATCAGAAGCCTTAGCTAATCTGTGCCAGGCCCCAGAGAGTGAATCACTCCTTGTTCAGTTCTAAGTATATTGCTTGTACCTCTCTTTTTTCTTTCTCTCTTTTTTTCTTTTTTTTAAGATTTTATTTGACAGAGAGACACAGCGAAAGAAGGAACACAAGCAGGGGGAGTGGGAGAGGGAGAAGCAGGCTTCCCACGGAGCAGGGAGCCTGATGTGGGCCTCGATCCCAGGACCCCGGGATCATGACCTGAGCCGAAGGCAGACGCTTAACGACTGAGCCACCCAGGCGCCCCGCTTGTACCCTTCTTTAACTATTCACTTAGTATTTCACTGGCTACCTGTGTGAGCCTCTCTCTGCTCACATAGACTTAGTGAGTGGAGACTATGTAATTAGTCTGTGAGCCACTAGTATCGTGTTCAGTACATAACAGGACTTGGTACATGTTTGAAATTAAACGAAGGACTTTTCAAAGTCATAGTTAGGAAAAGGAATAGTGCTAGGACCAGAAGCCAAGCGTTCTGCTGGAACGCTCCCAGTGGTCTTCCTAGTATACTTCTCAGGTTCTA